GTTGTGTTCAATTCACCCAATGGTTTCGGTGAAAAAAACCCAACTCCCTCCCTTCCCCCCCCCCCCCATTTCTGAACCAAATCGAAACACGTTGGTTTGACCTTTTCCAAACAGAATGTTCTGATTTTTCGAGTCGAAACACCTCTCCCTTTGGAAACCTCCCTCCGTTTTCCTTGAAAACGCTCCATGCCCGGACCCTTTTTTCCTTGCTGCTGTTTGGAACTGGCACGAGATGAAAACTCCATTATTAGCCCAGCTCTAGGGCAGACCTCTTCGGACCGTGTGTCTCTGCCGCGGGCACAGGGGGCGATCACCACCGATGTACCTGTAGCCGAGCTGGCTTTAATTTAGCTGACTCGGGTACCACAGCATGGGCCAGACCTGGGAGTGCTTACCCTGGGTTCTGGATAGGTTCGTACAGCCTACGCTGCTGCAGCTTCACTGCTCCAGTAATGCTCACTCGGGAACATCAGTCATGAGCCGCAGTCACACCCAGTGATTGCAGTGCCTGTGACATGGGGCGACCACATTGGGTTTGTGCAGAACAGCCAACTTAACAGGTTGACCCCTGGGGTAAGTGCATGGAAGTCATTCAAGTTACGCTAGGGATTAAGTTGGCCCCATATCTGGAGGGCCTCTGAAGTCTCTCCTCTTCTCTGTTTGGCAGGGGGATTCCGGGGGGCCTCTGATCTGCAATGGGGTGGTGCAGGGAATTGTCTCCTTTGGCTACAGCGCCCCTCCTGCTGTCTACACCCGCATTGCTAACTACCTTCCGTGGATCAAAAAGATCATGGGCTAGAGGACCGGAGAGGGAGATGCTCCAGCTTCTCCTCCAGCATCTTCTGCCTTGGAGACCTGTGCTGCTTTCCCTTATGCTGTATCCTCCGGCTTTTTCTCCCTTCGGGGTGTTGTCTGAAACCATAGGGGACAAGACTCTCTCTAGGTGCCTCTATGGCCTTGTTACTGTAGACCTGAACGCCTGCAGGCCCAGCAGTTCCCGTGTCACCTGGGTTCTGTTGGCTCAGGAAAGGAATGTCAAGTTTTCAGCCCCCTGAGTTAATATTCTCTTGCCTGGTCCCCTGAAGAAGCAGCGGCTTTGCTGTTCTGAGGGGCTTCAGGATTCCTTCTGCCCCTGTTGACTTGAATAGGGCACAGCTGCCCAGTCTCTGGGATGGTGCTAAGACCATCAGAGCAGAGTCAGGGATAATTCTAGAGCAGGAGGCACTGAAGTGGGTTGAAATCGGCCCAAGGAGGTGGTTTTGGATCACCTGGAGGGGAAGGCTCTGACCCATGCTCGCTCCCTCCTGGGCGTTCCCTGGTTTGTTTCCCCGGCTCTGTCCCAGGCTGAGGTTGGGCTTCGCTTGGGTTTACAAGGGAGTTTCTCTCCCTGGCAATTTCAGCTGGTGCCACATTGTCAGAGCAGAAGCAGAGCAAAGAATCCTTGCCAGTCCCTCTAAGGGGGGGAGACGCCCCAACCCTATGTTCTCACACCCCCTTCACCCCGGTCACTGCTCCATTCCTTCTCTGTCACTCGCTGCGATGCCGGGCATGTAACAAGCTTGAAAAATAAACGCCAATCTGCATTTCACAGTGTCTCGTTCTCCTGCTTCACAACGGCTTGTTTCAGTGGGTTTCTGATCATTCTCCAGATAAACACAAGGGGCCAAATTCGGCTCCCAGTTGCAACGGGGCAGGCCCTTTGATTTCAGAGGGTTGCACGGGTGTAAATGAGCAACTGGGCCCAGAGGAGAACAGCCCTCTTTCGACTTCCCAGGCCACAGAGGGAAGTGCCCCAGGAGAACTGAAAAAGACCCATGTGGTTTTCTGATTCCGGACTGCGCAGCCATTAATAGGTCCTAACTATTTGGAACTCTGCAAGTGGGAGGGGCACGGTCTGTAGGTGTTCGTGGTCCTTATTGCTGGGAATGTGTAACCCTCCGGATTAGCTTTGCCGTTCAGTTTAGACACAGACCCTCTCACATGCTGCCCGCTGCCTCCTTGTGCTTTTCTTGTGGTCCTGGGTTTGTCACTGATCGCTGCTAGAAAAATCTCGAGAGGAGGAAAACTCCCACTGTTGGAGCAGAGTCAGGCCAATGCTGAGCACGTCCAGCGTTACCAACTCGCGTGATTTCATTCCCAATCATGACATCTTGGGGTTTTCCTTTCTCAGCTTCCATTTCATAAAAAAGTTTCTAGCCCAGCGCTAACCATAGGAAGAAGCTTCCCTGGGGTAATTTATCTAATAACTGGGTTTTTTTATGCTTTATTCTGAAGCAGCTGGTTCTGTTAGAGACAAGACAGTGGACTAGGAACTTGGGGTGTGATCTGGACCCCGTTACCCCCCCCCCATCTGAGCACCTCACTATTTACCACATGGGAGTTAGAGGCACTCATGTGCCACAGAGAGAAACTCATCCGTTGCTAACTGGGTTTAAAGCTGTCAGTCAAACATACAAGTGGAGAGAAGGCACATGGCTTCTGATAACAGTCTAAATGGCAGATTTCAGAGGGGTAGCTGTGTTAGTCTGTATCAGCAAAAACAACGAGACACCAGGGGAAAAAAATCTGTGAACGTGGAAAGGATGCTATCAACATGTAGATGTGACAACTTTATCACAACCATCGCTGATAACTTTATCTCCAAACCCCAATGTTTAAGACTCTCAGGCTCCGCCCAGATCACCCATCCTCCATCTCAATCAGCAGCAAATCATCAGGCAAGATCAGATGGTGTAGATCAGTCTAGGTCCCTTGGCTTCAGCTGGGGATCTAGCTCCCTCTGTCTCCAGAACCCTAATGGAAGTAGGTTGATAAGGGAGGGAGGTTTGGTAAGGAAAGCTTTGACGGGGAGCAGGGAAAGTTGCTTTTAAGATTTTAAAACCCCCAGCAAAGATGCCGCGTGGATGGTTTGAGATGCTATAAAAAATGTAGTGGGGAACAATGCTGGTAAGGAAATCATTCAGGATTGTCTTTCTGGTTTTTTTCCATGTAAGACAAATAAGTTACACTGACAAACAACAGCCAAACATCAGAAATGATAAACCAGGCTCCAAAAAATATTCACAAGACTGAATTAAAAATCATGTATTTGTTGTTGGTTTTTTTAATTAATACATTTTAGGTTCTTGGCCTCCTGGATTTTGAGACTTTAGATCACACTCTTGTCACATTTTCCATTTTTTCTCCCCAACAATAAGGGCTAGAAACTTTCTCCCCTCCCCCCTCCCCAAGAGCTGAGATTTTCACATAATCATGTGACTCCAGAAGCTGGGGCTTTAAGAACAATCCTAAATATTGCCAGACTCAGGATCAAATCACAAGAGCTGGCTGTGACAGACAGCAATTTCCTGCAATATCCTGGACGCACCATACTGAATTAAATTGTTCCAATGATTAATTACTCTCATCATTAAAAATGTGCATCTTATTTCCGGGCTGAATTTGTCTCGCTTCAACTTCCAGCCATTGGATCGAGTTATACCTTTCTCTGCTAGACTCAGGAGCCCATTATTAAATATTGGCTCTGATTTCCATACTTACAGAGTGGGATCAAGTCACCCTTAACCTTCTCTTTGTTAAATTAAACAGACTGAGCTCCTTGGGCTGTCCACTGTATTAAAAATGCAATTGTTCCTGTGTGATTGTGAGATTGTATGGACCACCTCTTGGAGGAGGGGGTATGCTGATGGAATTCCTCTGGGGGAGCATCACCCCGGGGAGGGGACCCATTGTCGGCTGACACCGATTCCCGGTCTCTTCAAAGGCTCAAGATGGATCTGGAGACTAGCAGATAAAGAAAAGAGGTTGGGATAAATAACCTGAGTTTAAACTGACTCAGGGCCTCCTCCCTGATCCAGCAAATCATAGAATCATAGAATATCCGGGTTGGAAGGGACCTCAGGAGGTCATCTAGTCCCACCCCCTGCTCAAAGCAGGACCAATCCCCAACTAAATCATCCCAGTCAGGGCTTTGTCAAGCCTGACCTTAAATGGACAGGACGTCTGGTGCCCGGAGGGCCCCAGTCCTAAGGGAACGACTGGAAGGACTTTGGCCTACTGAGAGTGGGTTGTCATTCTGAGCAAAGGGTTTGATGAACTTGAAACCACAGGAAAGCCCCCGGGGGGGCGGGATTTGGGAGGATGGCTTCTGCCAGAGCCAATGTTGGGGGCGGGGGCAGGGGGAATCTCCAGTCAGCTTATTAGCATGCAGGTAGGTTCGTTTATGGGTTTGGGTATGTTTTCCCTGCAGTACTTTTATCTGAAGAATAAACTCGGCTTGCTTAGAAAGGCCTAGCTGGTGACTTCTAGCTGCAGCAATGACAGGGTGACATGGTGGTGACCTGACTGGCCTTGAGGGCAGAAACAAAGCAGGTCTGCTTAGATAGCCTGCCTTTTGCCTGAAATAACACGGTGAAGGTAGGGAGCTGTGCAGCCTGGAAATACCCTCGTCAGAAGGGAGAGAGAGACACGTGTCTCCCACCCAAGAGAGGCGAAGACCTGAGCATGGGTGCCCTGCCAGGAGCCCAGAGGGGGAGTCCAGGTGCAGCCGCCCTGAACTGTGATCTGGCACCACTGTAAATAGCTTGGAGGAAATTGCTACATGAGGGCGGCAAAGAATTATTTTCAATGAAATTGATTCCTCCCCCGGGAACCTACAACTCAAAGCTAAAATGCCCTGTGCAGAGGGTGCCACTTTAGCCTTCAGAAGGGGTCCTGGGTGGGATCTGACTGAGACCCAAGGCTTGTGCTGGCTCCGTACGGAGGGAGTTTTACCCTGACCACAATAACCATGCTGCTGAGAGATGCACTTTGTAGCTAGTGCTCCAGGGCTGTGCATGAGCAAACTGATTCCACGTTGATTAGTCAGCTGAGCCCAAACCCTGTGGTTTCCTAGGTGCTGAATCTCACGGGTCTCAGCTTATAAAACCAGGCAGGGAGCTGCCGGAGACCCTAACTGCAACCCAGGCTGGAAGGGGATTGGCGAAGCTGAGAACTCCAAGATGAGACAGGCCTGCAGCCTCTTAATCCTACTCGCTCTGCTGTTCCCCGCGTCCGCCCATGCTGGTTAGTAGAGAAAGCCAGGGGGTTGGACGACCACCTAGGGTCCATGCACCAGGTGAGGCGAGAACAGACCAATCACATCATCAGGAGCGTCTCTCTTTCAGGAGCTTCATGGAGTGAGATTGTGGGGGGGCATGAAGCCAAGCCCCACTCCAGACCCTACATGGCCTATCTGAAGAGGACCACCTTGGATTTCTGCGGGGGATTTCTGGTGGACCCAGGCTGGGTGATGACGGCTGCTCACTGCAGGGGGTAAGATTTTGTTCGGTATTTGTACAGCACCTGACGCAAGGGGCTCCTGATCAATGCCAGGCACTCCCACAGTACGAATAATAAATACCTCTCTCAGGTTTAAACCTCACATGTACAGCAGATGAACCAAATAATCTATGCACTGGTGGGGTAGCTGTAGTGGACCCAGGGTATTAGACAGACAAGGTGGGGGAGGTAATATCTTTTATTGGACTGACGTCTGTTGGTGAGAGAGACAAGCTTTAGAGTCTCTTCACCAATAAAAGATATTACCTCCCCCACCTTGTATCTAGAACCACAGAACGGATTTTTTGGTTCATTGGCCATTCCAAAAACATTGACAAAAATCATTTCGGGTCAATCTGAATGATTTTTTTAAAGAAATTTTCAGTGACAAAAAAGAAGGGGAAGGGTGTCAAACAAAACATTTTGACGTTGAGAGGTATTTTCAGGTGTTTGCATTTTGTGATAAAAGTGAAAGAAAGCTCTAAAAGTCATTTTGACCTTCCCCCCAAAATTTTTTTTAAAAAAGTGTTTCGACATTTTCGAACTGAAGAACACTGACTTTTTCAGACTTTTGTTGGCCAAGACAATTCACTGAAATGGACGCAAATTCGCAAAAATCTTTCAGTGTCGCCAAATCAACCTTGTTTGGGGGGGGGGGGAGAAAACGCAAAACCAAACCAATCAGAAACCTTCTGTCCGAAACATTTTGCTTAGCTCTACTGTAGAGCATCATCCTTCAAAAGCTTGTCACCCATCTCTGCCCTCCTCTAATTCCGTCACATTAGGAGCAGAGTGCACCTGGGGGGGGGGGGGTCCCCCTTTGACTTACAGAGCTGGGAGTGGCAGAGAGATTCTCTCCGGTGGGGGATCACCAGGCCAAGGAAGAATTAGAGGAAGAATTTGCCTTTTCATCTGGTTTTATCTGAAAATGCTTTCTAGTGCTTAACTCCAGAATTATTAAAGTATTTATAACTATTGATTCATAGCTCCTAAGGCCAGAAGGGACCACTGTGATCATCTAGTCTGAGCTCCTGTATGGCACAGGCCCGAGAGATGCCCCCAAAATAATCCCTAGAACAAATCTGTTTGAAGTAGATTTACAAGTTGTCTGTGAAGGAGAATCCACCCCCACTCCCACACTAGGTAAATTGTTCCAGTGGTTAATTACTCTCACTGTGAAAAAAATATTCCTTATTTCCAGTCTGAATGTGTCTAGCTTCACCTTCCAGCCACTGGATTGTGTTGGTCCTTTCCCTCCTAGACTGAAGAGCCCATTATTAAATATTTGTTCCCTGTGTATGCACTGAAAAACTGTGATCAACTCACCCCTTCACCTTCTCTGGGTTGAGCTAAATAGATGGAGCTCCTTGAGTCGATCACTCTCAGGCAGGTTTTCCAATCCTTTAATCATTCCCGTGGCTCTTCTCTGAACCCTCTCCAATTTATCAACACCCTTCTTCAATTCTGGGCACAAGAACTGAATTCAGGATTCCAGCAGCGGCCGCACCAATGCCAAATTCAGAGGGAAAATAACCCCGTTGTGCAAATTGCCGGCACGACTATGATGGGTCCCGCACTTTCTCTTCTTGTGGGGGTGTTCAGGGTGCCATTTCTCACCCCTGATCTGGAGTATTAACTGTCCCACTAGTATCCCAGAGAAGGGGAGTGGAGAGGGAGGGACCCGGGCCCACCCTCTACTCCGGGTCCCAGCCCAGGGGCCCTAGGGATAGCAGCAAACCATTTGAACTAGCGATTCCTTCTCCTGGGCTACTTCCCTCTCCAGCCCTCTCTCTGCTTGGGCAAGGTTTCCCCCAACCCTTTGTGTCTGTGGAGTCCCTCTGCTTTGTACAAGCCGGGTTTCCCTTTACCTAGGGTCTTGGTCTTCTGGCCCCGCCACAGCACTTCTCCAAACTCTCCTCTGCTTCCCTCCAAACTGCTCTCTGCTCCAACACCAAACCACTCTGCTTCAACTCCTCCCACTGGCTGATTGAAGCAGGGCGTTTCTATCAGGTGACTGGCTTCAGGTGCGCTAATTGGCTTCAGGTGCGCTAATTAAACTGTAGCAGCCTATCTTCCCTCTACAGGGGCTAAGGCTCTCATCATCCTGGGGCCTACGTATCTCCCATCGATCACTCTCCTGCTGCCCTCCGGCCATGCTGTATCACACCCTGTACTCCCTACTTGAGAATCCCCTGTTTATGCAGCCTACGGTTGGTTGCATTAGCCCTTCTGGGCACAGATTGACTGGCAGCTCGTGCTCAGCTGATTATCCGCACTCCCCAACGTAGTCTTTTTCAGAGTCCCTGCTTCCCAGGATAGCGCTCCCCCATCCTGGAAGTATGGCCGACAGTCTTTGCTCCCAGATGGACACATTTACATGTAACCATATTAAAAACCACATTGGCTGCTTGCACCCAGTTGACCAGCCAACCTAGATCGCTCTGAATCAGCCACCTGTCCCCCCTGGTCCTTTACAACTCCCCCAATTCGTGTGCCGTCTGCAGACTTTATCGGTGATCGTTTTATGCTGGCTAGGGCCAAGAACCGATCCCTGCGGGACTCCAGTGGAAACAGACCCCACTCGATGACCCGCCTCTATTGCTGCTGACAAACACAGCACGGGTTTAATTACATCAGCATGCAAGGGTTTTACAAATGCTAATTAACCCTCAGATGAATACCCTTAACTCTCACGTGACAGCCAGGGAAACTGAGGCACAGAAGGGCTGTGATGTGTCCAAAGCCACACAGTGAGTCAGCAGCAGAGTCAGGAATAGAACCCAGGAGTCCTGATGCCCAAAGTGCCCCAAACTCCCAGACACAGGCCCGATTCTCAAGTGCATTCAGGACCCGCTAGTGACTCTGGCAGTGTAAGGGGAACATGTGCTCACTTTAAGGGCCTTCGCAATCAGCTCACAGATGTTCATTATCTATAAATCCCTAGGCCGGGTAATAGGTTTTCTTTGCCTTACGGCTGTAGCATCTTTTCTTGGCAGCTAGCGGGTGGGTGTCAGGACCAGCTACCACATGGTTACAGAGCAGGCCAGAGTGGTTTGAGCATTGGCCTGCTAAACCCAGGGTTGTGAGCTCAATCCTTGAGGGGGCCATTTAGGGAACTGGGGTAAAAATCTGTCTGGGGATTGGTCCTGCTTTGAGCAGGGGGTTGGACTAGATGACCTCCTGAGGTCCCTTCCAACCCTGAGATTCTATGAATAAATAAAAGGAAAAGCGATTGATTTGCTTTCGCCAATTTCAGGAACCTGACAGTCACCTTAGGCGCTCACAATATCCACAAGCAAGAGAACTCCCAGCAAACGTTTGAGGTTCAAAGCTATCACCCGCACCCCGCCTACAAAGAACGTCCTAGAGTCAATGACATCCTTTTGCTGAAGGTAACCGATTTCTTGGGCTAATATTCACTTCCAGGTTCATACCTCTGGGCATCATGTGAGGTTTGGCGCTTGGCCGTGGTCAGGGGTAATTTATGCCAAAGGGTAGCTGAAGACACAATGTGCAGAGCTGGCTCTGTCCTTTCCCCAGAGTTTGGATCAGGGGTGCCAGTGTAGGTCCATCACCTGGGTTCTGATGTTGGGATGGAGGGCACAGACCCCGCCCTGCAGAGCGTGACTTGGATGAATATTTGTATTGTGGTAGTACCTAGCGGCCCAAGACACGGCCCACGACCCAGTTGCACTAGGCCCTGTACAAAAACAGAACAAAAAGATGGGCCCTGCCCCAAAGAGCTTTGTCTAAACAAGAGACAGACGGGCGGGGGAGTACAAGGAAACAAAGGAGACGGTATTTAATCGGTCAGCACGCTGGACAGCAGTCACAGCAGCTGCCTACTGATTGTCAAGGTTTGTGTCAGCATCGTGCCAAAGGAGAGTTTGAAGAGGTGTTGGCAGGGGAACGAGGTGGCTTTGGGGATGTTTATGGGGAGCTCCTCCCACGCGAGAGGGGCAGCAGGGGAGAGAACGCAAAGGGGCTTATGTGAGAGCATCACAAATGGGTGATGGAGGCAGCGGCATGGCCTTCTGCTCCCTTAGAAACATGCAGGTGACCGAGCCTTTGTTGGGCAATATTTAAAAACATGAACACATTTCTGGATCTCCCCCACCCCAGCTGAAGAGGAAAGCCAAACTAAACAAATACGTCCGTGTCATTCACCTGCCCAAGGCCAACAGAAATGTCGCCCCATGGAGCCAGTGCAGCACAGCTGGATGGGGTTTTATCGACCAGGGAAAAACCACCGACAAGCTCTTTGAGACCAACGTCACCATCCGGCCACCAAAGCAATGCCGCTCTTTGAACCCCGGGATAACTAACGGCATAATCTGTGCAGTGAGCGAACAGTGGGTCAAGGACTGCAGCCAGGTCAGTAGCCGCCGCGTCTAGGGGAGGATGGCAGGGGAGGCAGGCCAGAGGGCTACCAGAGGGTGGTACCCTAACCTTGGAAGATCTTGCTCTGTAAATTATCTGGGTTACTATGGCTAGTTTAAAACAACATTCTGGCCAGGACAGGTGCCTGTCCCTTTGTCTTGGTTATTTTGTCTCTCCTACCAACTTCTGTTCTCTTCCTCTGTGTCTCTGTAACCTCTTCTTCCGTAGGTCCCTCTCCGTTTCTTCCTGGCCCTGCCGACGTTAGCTGAAAAGGCGCTCCAGAAACTTGTCGCCAGGCCTGTGTTGTATCCTGAGCCTGGCTCCCCCTGGACTTGACCCTCATGGGGTCATTTGCACTTGTACCGAGTGGGCCAAAGACACTCCTGTTCCTATGGGTACCCACTTTGCGCAGGTGGAAGCAAAGACGACCCCATGGGCAAGGCAGGGGGAATCATAGAAAAGCAGGGCTGGAAGGACCTCGAGAGATCATCTATCCAGCCCCCTCCACTGAGGCAGGACCAAGTAAATGCAGACCATTCCCGACAGGTGTTTGTCCCACCTGTTCTTAAACACCCCCAATGCCAGGGATTCCACAGCCTCCCTTTGCAATCTGTTCCAATACTTAGCCATCCTTAGAGTGGAAAGTTTTTCCTCATATAGAATCTAAATCTCATGTGTTGCAGTAATAAGCCCATTACTTCTTGTCCTATCTTCAGTGGACTTGGAGAACAATTGATCACCATCCTTTGTATAACAACCGTCAACATATTTGAAGACTTATGTCCCCCTCCTCCCCCCTGCCCCAGTCTTCATTTCCCAAGACTAACCATGCCCAGCTGTTTCAACCTTTCCTCATAGATCAAATTTTCTAAACCTTTTATCGCTTTTGTTGCTCTCCTCTTGACTCTCTAATTTGTCCACGTCTGTCCTAACATGTGGCACCCAGAACTGGACACAGCACTCCAGCTGAGACCTCATCTGCCAAGTAGACCGGGACGCTTACCTCCCATGTCTTACATATAATACTCCTGTTAATATACCCCAGAATAATAATAGCTTTTTTTGCAACTGCATTACATTGCTGGCTCATATTCAATTTGTGATCCACCATAACCCCCAGCTCATTTCAGCAGTACTGCCGCCTAGCCAGTTATTCCCCATTTTGCAGTTATGCCGTTGATTTCTACTTCCCAAGTGAAGTCCTTTGTCTTTATTACGTTGAATCGTGTTGACTTCAGACCAGTTCTCCAATTTATCAAGATTATTTTGAATTCTAATGTTCTCCAAAGTGCTGCAAGCCCTCCCAGCTTGGTGTCATCTGCAAATTTTATAAACATCCTCTCCACTCCAAGTCATTAATGAAACTCTTGAATAGTGAAAGATCCCACTAGATACTAATTTGTTTATAAGAACATCACGTGGGACTGTGTCAAAAGCCTTACTAAAATCAAGATCTCACCTCTACTGCTTCCCCACATCCATTAGGCCAGTAACTTCATCAAAGAAGGAAATTTGGTTGGTTTGACATGATTTCTTCTTTACAAATTCATGGTGGCTAATACTTATAATTTAACTGCTTACAAACTAATTGTTTAATAGTTTGTTCTAGTGTCTTTCCTGGTATAGAAGTTAGGCTGACTGGTCTACAATTCCCCAGGTCCTCTTTGTTCCCCTTTTTAAAGAGAGGTACTATCATAGAATATGAGGGTTGGAAGGGACCTCAGGAGGTCATCTAGTCCAACCCCCTACTCAAAGCAGGACCCATCTCCCAGATAGATTTTTGCCCCAGATCCCTAAATAGCCCCCTCAAGGATTGAACTCATAACCCTGGGTTTAGCAGGCCAAGGCTCAAACCACTGAGCTATTGCTCTTCTCCAGTCCTCTGGGACCTCACCCACCCGCCATAAGTTTTCAAAGATAATTGCTTCAACTAGTTCCTTAAGAACCCAATCATGAATTTTGTCAGGCCCTGCCAACTTTAATACATCTAACTTATCTAAATATTTTTTAACCCGGTCTTTCCCTTTTCTGGCTTGTGTTCCTTTCCCCTTGTTGTTAATATTAATTGTGCTAAGTAGCTGGCCACAATTAACCTTTTTAATGTAGACTGAAGTAAAGTAGTGTGGCAGAGCTCCAACTTTGTCTCAGTGGGTCCCGCACTTCCTGGCAGATTTCACTAGCCTCAGAGGTGATCAATTGTTCTCCAAGTCCACTGAAGATAGGTATATGATCACGTCATTGACTAGAGTGAATCTTGACCCCATTTCAATCAATGGGAGCTTTGCTGTTGATTTCAATGGGACCAAATTGTCAGCTTGTGTTGCAGCGTGCACATGCTAGAGGACAGAGTTAAGGTGATAGAGGTTATCTTAAGTTCGCAATTTCCTAGCCTTTGCAGCCGTTCCATTCTTTTTAAATGTAGTGGTTTTTTGTATGGAAAATATATAGTGAATGTTTGTGCACATCTTCCTTGTGTTTCTCAGGGGGATGATGGTGGCCCTCTAGTCTGCAAAGGGACAGCACAAGGAATCTTCTCCTATGATTTCAAACGCCCTCCTGGCTTTTACACTCGCATTGCCTCCTACCTTCCCTGGATTGAGAAAACCATGCAGTAACAAACAGGAGAGGAAGAGGCTGAACCTTCTCCTGCATCATCGGCTGCCTTTGAAAGTTGGGCGTTTCCTTGTGCTGTATTTGGTGGCTTTTTCCCCTCCCTTTTCTGGGGTGCTGAGTGGCAAGTTAGGGCTAAGACAAGAAGTGGTGCCGATGGGGAGTCCCCCTTGTCCTCGTCACAAAAAAATAAATCCCTCTAGACGTACAAACATCTACGTACACTGCTACGGCTGCAGCTTACACCCCACTGGGAAGGTGCCTAGATGAGCCTTTTGTCCTAGATGAGCCATTGCTGATTCCATCTGTGGCATCTATATTGGGAGCGCTAAGGTAGACATGGTTGCCCGGGGCCATCAGCATTCGTAACCCCAGGGGCCTGATTCTCCCTTGTCCTGCACCTGCTGTCCAAGGTACTTTGGCCCTCACGACTATGGCATCCGAGTGCCTCTCACTCTGTGTTTATTCTCAACCCCCCGGCAGATGGGGCAGTGCTATTATCCCCATTGTACGGAAGGGGAACTGAGCACAGAGAGGTTAAAAGTCTTGCCCAAGGTCACGCCGCTGGAGCAAGGACTTGACCCCCGGTCTCTCAAATGCTAGGCCCATGACTTTACCACTGAGCCATCCATCCTGCCTGCCATCACTTGACTACCACTTTGGGCGGGCGTCAATGACCCCACAAGGTGCAGGGCATGGGAGACAATAGGGCCTCCCCCCACGTAAGCCAGCTCTGAGCAGATCTACATGACAAAGGTTAAACGAGCACCAGGGGCTTGTCTACACTAGTGCTCCCAGTGGCGCAGCTGCATGGGTAGTTGCAATATATGTGGGGGGTGGGGAATATTAGCATAGAGGACCAGACCAGTGGGTATAAGGGAGTCTAACTTCCACCATCATGCACATTTCTGAATTTGGGCCGATGCTCCCAATTCTGGCAGGAGCTTGTGTCCCTCCCCAGCGAGCCAGGATTAATGCCTGCACCCACGCGTAGCCCCTGCTCTGATCGCTGCTTCATTCCTGCCTTGTTGCTGTGTTGCCGGATTGTCCCGAGCATGAAAAATAAACTCTCCGCTGCGTTTCAGGGTCCTTCTCTGGTCCGAGTCTCATTGCCTGGGGGTTTCCGGACATTGCTCGGAGAACGTGAGACGAAGCGATTATTTCCAGACCCGGGAATTGCTCGGAGTCTCATTCACAGCTAGAAAGTTTGGGGCTTAGTTTACACGACAAAATTTGGCCAGTATCTGTAAATGGGCTAGGAGCATGAAAAGAATGACACCGCCAACGGGCAGCGAGGCTGGCAAAATGGTGGAGATGTAACTACACCTCTACCCCATTATAACGCTGTCCTCGGGAGCCAAAAAATCTTACCGCGTTATAGATGAAACCGCGTTATATCGAACTTACTTTGATCCGCCAGAGTGCGCAGCCCCGCCCCCCCGGAGCGCTGCTTTACCGTGTTATATCCGAATTCGTGTTATATCGGGTCGCGTTATAGCGGGGTAGAGGTGTGTGCCGACAGCCGAATGCTTCTGGTGACCCAGCTAATGTGGTTCAAAGAGGCGGTGTTACTACAGTGGCAGAAAAACTCTTCACCAGCCTACACTAGGGGAGCTCTGCCAGCTTAGCTAGACCACGTAGACAAGCCCTGCCTCAGGGAAACCCTAATACCCTCCCTCCTTCCCCCACAGTCTGTCTCTCCTCCTGTTCCCCAAACCCCAAGCAGAACTTAAGCTTTTCGGGTCAGGGCTTCTGTTTTTATCTCCGGGTCTCATTCAGCAGCGAGGACATCGGCGATGCTGAAAAAACAGTAACCTGACCTCTTCTGGCAGAAGCCAGGAGTTAGAGGCAAGAGACTACGGCTTCCCCTAAGAACTTACGTAAGGAATGTTACAGATGTCAGAGGGCTGGTCCAATGTGAAAGGGGGAGTATGTGACAGAACTGGAGAATGAACCCAGCTCAAGTGCCAGTCCAGGGCTTTCCCCGCAAGATCAGCCTTCTTCCGTGTCAGAGAGACATCCCCACAGAGTTCGGGACCACACACACACGGGGTGAAACCCCTTCCCTATTAAACTCAATGGGAGTTTTGCTATTGACGTCTGGAGCCCTGCAAATCTGCAGACATCCGCGGACCATTTTTGCAGATTGGATGCAGATAAAAATTTGGTATCTGCTCAGGGTTCTATTGATGTCAATGGAGCCAGGACACCCTTCTATGCCTTTTCTGTCCTCAAAACACCTTTCGTTGCATCAGTGATTCGGTGCCTCACTTATTACCTGACCAATGACGATCCAGGCTCCAGCTCATCACCACGCCAGGCTGACAGTGTAGAATTCAGAGCAAGGGCAGCTCTGTCCCCACCCAGTTAACCAAATATCCCTGATAAAAGAAGCCGGGGTTTCCGCACGAGCAAGTGCAAACAGACCACACCACAAAAAAAAACACACCCAGGTTCATATGCGCCCTCGCTGAAGGTTCTTCCAAACTGGCTTCTCATTTTGGGTGCCCAGCTTAAGACACGTTGGGCCTGGTTTCAAGCAGGCTGGTCACTGAGCTCTCGGGGGAGCAGCAGCTGCTCAGCCCCCGGGGTCCCCACAGATGGCCATTCCCCAAATCCAAGAACCAAAAGTCAGTGGGGCCCTTTTTGAAAATGACTCAACAGCACTGGCACTTTTAACTCCAAGTCGGAAAAGCAATGGAAAGGCATTTTCCAGCTGTCCCTGTTATTCCAATATACGGTCTCCCAGGTGTCCCCATTAAAGGGACTGGAAAAATCTAGTAAACACATGCCATGAAGTCAATTCCTGATTGCCTGTGTAAGTGGTGCAAGGCTGTAGTTAAGTTCCAAAACTAAAGGGGGAGACATATGCCCAAGGATCAAACCCTCTGATCCCAAGTTATATTAGCATTTGGGAACTTTGATTGGGAATCCCCAGCTCTCATCTAGCACTTTACAACAGAAGATTTGAAAGCACTTTACAAAGGAGGGATGCACTATTATCCCCATTGTACAGACGGGGAAACTGAGGCATAGGGTGGTGCCGTAACTTGCCCAGGTTCACCCAGAAGGGCAGAGGCAGAACCAGGAACAGAACTCTGGTTTCTTGAATCCCAGTTCACGGCCTCTTTTCAATCACAGATCACTTCACGGCACAGTCGGGGCGCTAAGAAACAACCAGAATAAATTTATCTCAACATGATCCACCAACTAGCTGATTCATAGATTTTTAAGACCAGAACAAACTATAAGAAGATCATTTAGTCTGACCTCCTGCGTACCCCTCCCCACCATAGAGTTTCACCCAGTTACCCCTGTTGGACTAAAGAATATCTTCCAGGAAGGCATCCAGTCTTGATCTGCAGACATCCAGGGATGGAGAATCCACCACTTCCCTGGGGAGTTTGGTCCGATGGTTAAATGCCCTCACCGTTAGAGTTACGCCACCACATTTTTAACTACAATCATCAATTGTCATTTATAAAAGCACCTACACTCCAGCAAGACATTAACCCCAACTGCTCCTCTGCGGGAGGGAAGTATCATATGTCCCCATCATTTTGCAAATGGGGAAACTGAGGCCCAGACTGGCAACATGACTTGCCCACGGTCACACAGCAAGTCAGTGGCAGAGTCTGGAAGAGAACCCAGGAGTCCTGCTCCAGAGAGGCATAAACAGTTTGTACCAGAATATATGCAAAGGAATTAAAACGTCAGATAAGATCAGCTCCTCTTTATTTCACATTTCAGCAGAAAGCCCGTATCAATGCAGACATATGAACTAGACAGGGGTTCTCAAACTGGGGGTTGTGTCCCCTCCAGGGGTCGCGAGGTTATTACGTGGCGGGGTCGCGAGCTGTCGGCCTCCACCCCCAAACCCCGCTTTGCCTCTAGCATTTATAATAGTGTTTAATATAAAAAAATGTAGTTTGAATTTATAAGGGGGGGGGTCGCACTCAGAGGCTTGCTGTCTGAAAGGGGTCACCCATACAAACGTTTGAGAACCGCTGAACTAGAAGGATCTTTAAGGAGGTGCTGTAGTGTGGTTTGCAGATACCAGAAGGAAGAGAACTGCAGACAACTATAAGAGAATTGATTGGGGGGTTAACATAATTTCCCCCCAACCCCATAAAGCTTGCTTCATAAATTGGCCTTCACAACAGTCCCTATTCAATTCACCCCTCTGCTCTGGCTGAATGCCCGTGCTCAGAGGCTCACGCTGGGTCTCCTGTCTGGGGAGCTGGTTTTGCGGACGGTGGGACAGACACCTGCTCCAGCTCCCTCTGGAGAAGTTCCCACTCCTTCTCCGGGAGGTGGTTGTCCTCCCGCCAGAAGAGACACTCGCTCACATCACTGCTCACGCCTGAGCATCAGAACATGAGGTGCCGTCCCCCATGATGCCTTGCTAGGCTAGAGACTCCTGGGAACTGGAAGGATTACACACACACACGGCAGCTTCCTGGCAAAGTCCAACCAGCAGCTGTGCCTTCTCTTCTCCCGCTGAGCTGGAGTCACTACCTATTTGCCCTGCAGGAAAGCAAAGGAGGCCAACGACTGAATGAGCCACCGTGGTCGAACTCCCCTCTCATCCTTAAAGGTGACCCCGTAGGTCAGAGGGGGCAGGACTTTGACTGGGCAGTGCTGGGGAAGGCTACCCCGGGCTTGTGGATCAACAGGGAAGTTTGGTCTCCAGGACTCTCAATCCAGCACCTATTCCTAGGGCTAAATCCACATGAAAAAAAAACCCTGACAATAAAAACAAAACTGGGCTCAGCGTCCCGGCAAGAAGCAGCCCCTCCACCAGCACGAAGGGATGGAGAAAACAGCCCTTGAAGAAGCTACACACCATCATAGGAGCCAATCCCCAGTCAGTGCTGGACCCATCTCCCACAGAAAGGGGTAAAACTGACCCCTGAGAAAGGCCTGAGATGGCGCTTTGCAGGCAGCCTCGCAGGGACTCTGGCAGGACGCCGTGAGAAAGGCAGCTCCACAGACCTCTGAGCCG